AAAAGGAATCTTAAATCTAACAATAAGTAAGAAATCCATTTTTTAAATTTTCGATTTTTCTTGTATTAAGAATTAAAATGGAGAAAAATAGAAAAAAAAAGAGCAGGAGAATACTTATAAATCTAATTTTTTATTTCGAAATTAAAGAACTCGAAAAATTAGTTATTAAGTATTTTAAATTCTTTCAATTTCTGTTTTTCTTTTGGAATATCGCATTATGTGAATGAAGCTGATGACATTTGAGGGATGAGCCTTTGTTGCTGATAAAGGAACTCTGTGTGTGCAGGGAAATTCCACGTTGCTCTTTAAGCGGGCGTCGATCATCTCCACGGGCAGCAGCAACAATAGCGGCGCCGGGGAGGATTACGACTACGTAAATCTCGACTCCCGAGAGGTCGTAGCGAAACAGCGAGAGGAACTGCGATCCACGCTGCCGCAGGAGCTGCGCAGCAATTACGATCTGCTGGTGTCCGAGGCGGACAATGCCGCGATTCAAATGCCACCCACGACACCGACGCCCATGGATCCCAACGACAAGCAATTGTTGGCCTTCTATGTCGCCCAGGTCATCACGCACGGCGCACACCTGACTCACGCCATCGACGCCTTTCTGCAAACAGTGGAGCATAATCAGCCACCCAAGGCGAGTTGAATTGTAACAATTCTTGTAATACTGGTGCCACCCGTCGCGCTCTTTCGCGCAAGATATATAGACATCGAGCTACGTTGATTGTTAGCTAAAGTAACAAACGGTGTCATTCTCGTCTCGATAAAAATTGAGATTTGAATTTTCTGCAATTGTTCTTCTCTTCGAAGACACTTGTCATAATGCTATAAATTATTTTGTACAAGTTAACGCATCGAGAGACATTTGTCGATCGATAATATCAGTTAAAGTGACGCTTCATCTTTGTCTTCTCTCAACAAAATTTGATTAGATCTATTGCAATCATTCCAGAATTCAGTAAAAATGTTCTCCCACCTTTTCACATTTGGTTTGAACATTGCACTTCTTCATATCACGAGACACCTTTAAGTACATATGCATATGGGTCAACAGTCTCGATAAGAATGATACAACTGTAGATATCGGCGGTGCTATTGTGTGACAGGGTGCCTTTAAGCTAGCACTGCACGTCAAGTGCATATTTCCATTATTTTTTCACGATGACCTCTTTTCCTTCGCAAGTGCATTGCACGCAACCGGCATCGCAGTTAAAGATAAGTAGTTAGTAAAGTATACATTTTGTAAAATGTAGGGAACGAAGCTACAGAGTTAGGAATAATGCTTGAACCTTAGAATATATCAAAGATATGATAAACAAAATAGTAAAATATATGACTGTCTCAAATACATAACGTATAAAAATGTATAAAACGAAAACTGTATTTACTAACCGTTAATCCCTTCATGATTTGTCCAAGCATTGCCTACGTGATTTTCATAAACTTTTGGTAATAAAATTAATAAAGGAATTTAAAACAATTAAAGGAATATCTGTTCGTCATATTCAAATAATCATTTATTCAAATCATTCATTCTTCAAATAGTTTCAGTTAACATGCCATTTTTAAGATTGGAATCGAGATGAATTGCAAGAAGGATCTGTTTGAAACATGCTATGAAATTGTTACAGGTTTTCCTAGCTCACGGCAAATTCGTTGTGCTGAGTGCGCATCGGCTAGTGCATATCGGCGACACGGTGCACCGGAACGTGACGCGCAACGACGTGCGAACGCGCGTGCTACAATGTGCAAACGCCTTGAACGAGGCGCTCGCACAGACGGTGCAGAAGACGAAGCAGGCCGCCCAGTTCTTCCCGAGCGTTACCGCGGTCCAGGAAATGGTCGACAGCGTCGTCGACGTCTCACACCTGGCCAAGGATCTCAAGGTCGCCATGATACACGCCGCTCAACAGCCCTGAGAAGAATTTTCGTCACGACGCGATCGCAAAACCACAAGTTCCTTCAACTGAGATGCAGTCTTCGATAGATTTTTTCTCCTTAACGGAGAAACTTCGAGACTGTAGAAGATTCAAACGCATTTCTGGATTTATCCCCGCGATTTGAAGCTTGTTGCCAATCGCGTTGATAATTTGAAGATAATGCTCGAGGGATCATATGCTGAATCTGTTCTCCGCGTTTTTTCTTTCTTCGTCGAGGTTTTAAAGGAACATCGCTAAGAATCTTCAACGCGTTGACGAAAAAAAATGTTCTTTCTTGTATGAAAGTGGATCAAAAATATCTCAGGAATTTCTCATGAATGTGGTCCTTCAAGCGTTATCTGGTGGGAGATGCGTATCATTGATGGCTCAGCCACTTATGAATAGAAATACAATAGTACTAAATGCGCCTCTTATTTTTTCGGAAAGAGCAAGTACTAGCGCAAAAGTGTTTTGCTTGTCCCGACAGTACTTTCGACATTAAATGGCGAGATAATCAAACATGTACGCTTCACGAAGATAAAAACATGTTCGGATATCCGCGCACTTTAGTGCGTCCCGTGCAGCTATTATCCCACTTCATTATAAAGAAAATCCGTGGCCTAAAAATAGGAACCTGCTACTGCCAAAGCTCCGGTATAGATTGTAAGAAACGAAGAAAACCACAACCCTGGGACGAGTGTCTTTGTAATGTACTCGAGAATATAAGCATTATAATCTTTCATAGGAAATATATGTAGCCGTTCAATTAGACGTTCAGGTAGATCTGTGAAATGGAGTATAACGAGGCCAATAGCTTTCTGGCACGAGTAAAGGCACTTCCGAAATGACACTTTCGCGAATTTGCGACCTGGTAAGCATCCGGATTATCTTGCCACGTCGCAAAGTCTATTTCGGATATACGCCGACGACGTATGCAGCTAAACGTGTTAGTAGTTTTATAGATGTATGTATACAGTAGGAGTAGAACATACACACACGCGACTAGACACATGTATTCATATCTCTCTTTTAGAACCGGTTTTTCATCGACATCGGTTAACTGTAATTTTAATTTCGCGGATTCCTCGTTCTTTCGAAGGAAATTAGAATAAAAAGGCAACAACTCAAATTGCGATTACAGTTAACTGATATTGCTGAAATCTCGGTGATTAGCAATTTTAATGACCGGTTTGAAGTGTTTCCCTGTAGTGAAGAGTCACCGCTGCTTTTACTCGAAGGCAAAAGACCGATATGAATACCGAATGTCGAATTGAAGAACAACCGCGTTTCTGTTTTTTTTTTGTAACTCAATCGTATGTCAGAAAATTGGCACCAAGAAAATTCAACGCAGACTTCTATGCGGGAAGTACACCTTTTTAGGATACCCCGCGAAGGCTAAATTATTACTTGTTGCGGACAGTTTTTTTAGAAGACAATTTTAAATGAATTTTATACGAAGCTTTTACCGCCGGGTTACGACTTTTTCGAGCGCCCAGGCCTTTTTACCAGGCTCTTCCATAACGGTGAATTTGTCACGAGCGCACACACCGTGAACCGCAATCAGCGACGGATCGAATTTGTAAACTGCTAACGCGCAAAAATTTCCACGGCAACTACTCGCATATTCGCGACTCTTTTTGCACAACGAGACCAATAACGCCTTTTTTTATAGAGCGAACGAACGAATGTTTTTATTAGATCTAGCAGATCCTGTGGCAGACTGACACCGACAACGCAAATGTTTAAAGAATATCGCATTCAGAATTATCGTTTTATCTCCTGGGTTATCTTTTGCATTTCTATTTATATAGATCAATCATAGAATTACTTTTAATACAATCATCGAAACTTTTTTTTTTACATCAAAATGAATCTTAAGGACTGAGGCAAAGAACTTCACGTTAAGATCCGAGATTACAGCTATCTTCAAGCTCACGCCTGTCGAGGCCAAAAGTATATGTATACGATCCTTCCGCTAATTTGCGGCGCACTTGTTCTAACGGCATTCTCCACGTGCGAAAGTGTACTTAAAAATAGCTCGCTGACTGCAGCACTCGCTCAACACGCGGAACCACCCAACTTTGTATCTATTAGAGTTTTACCGCGCCTCGTTGAAACAACGGAGATATAATTGTAAGTGTGAATTACGCACGTTATTAAGAAGCCGCGTATTAAGATGTGACCGGCTGTTTTTGTTGCAGCTTTAACGAGCATCTAGAATTTCCCTTGTTTCATGGGAGTATCTCTCTTTCGATTCTTTTATTTTATTTAGATTAACTAATGTGATTTACTGTGTGTAACGGAGACGAAGCGACTTTGAAGGCGACTTACATTTATCTTACATTTATTATTATTATTATTATTATTATTTTTAGAGACTATATACCCAAGCATATCGCGCATGGAGAAGCGTTTATACACGAACCTCGTTTACGAGACTTGTATTATAATTTATTGACGAAGCGTTTTTGTAATTATAATGCATATGGCAGGCAGTTATACATATATAGATAGATAGAATTGTATATTTAGAAATTTATATGATAGTCGAATCGATAGGTGCTTATCATCCGCGTTGAATCATCGTATTCAAATATGTGTTGTAGCATTAAGTGGAATGGTTTCTCCTTTTTGTAAAACGCCGGTTGATGAACGTCGCTAACCACGCGAGCATCAGCTCATCATTTCCCTGATTTCCCCTTTTATACATTGTACCTGGATGATCTTTTCGCGATAGTTGTGAATCATCCTCGCGGTCACTCGTAAATGTATACGTAACGGTATTACTATAAACTTACGAGAGCATACGATAGCTACATATCCGAGAGCAGCTATTACAAGATTAGATAAAGAGAAATTAGAAACGAAAACTCTCGATGTAGCGCGCGCGATGATTCCTTAAAGGAACGTTGATCACACATCGAAAATTGGTTTATCACAATGACGCTTTAAATCATTTTTTCGGTATAATCGCGCAAGGACAATTCCTGCGTTTTATCATTGAAGACTCCTTTGTGCTGTTTGCAAAGTCGAGATGCGTTATAAACTAAATAATTATGTTACCTTAAGAAGACCTTATTTGTACATAGATATATTTATACATATTATATATATATACATAATATAATTATTCCTATTACAGAAATGGAGTATGTATACACAAACATAATAGAGTACATCCGAGATGCATTAGTGGAGTAAACTTATTTGAATATCGTGCAATGTCAAAAATAATTTTTAAGCCAAAATACATTGAAAAAGACAAAGAAAATATCTATCGAGACAAATATTCGTAGATCCGACTTTAAAGTGTAAGTATGAACTGTATAAATTGAGCCCATTTCAGTGCTGTAAAACATTATTTTTTTCTACCATACTTTTTAACAACACGCTTGACAACGCCCTGAACAATTTAATATTGCATACTGGCGCGTTACACATGAATTACAGTTGCAGTCATTCAATAAAGTTATGATGAAAAAAAAGTCAAGATCGAATAGATTGCCCTTTTCAAGAATCCTTTATTTCTTACATATTTATAAGTCAATTTATAAGTTTTAATTACGTTGCGCATTGTGTGAACTGAAAAATACAACAGTCCCAAAGTTCAATCTTACTCCGTATCGTGCAAACTTTAACAAGTATCCTCCAGTCACATATAAAATATTTTTACTAGTGTACCAGGTCAAACTTTGATAAGTAGAAGCTCTTGCCCCATGCAAGAAATAACAAAGTATTCATAATCAGTTTTAATTAATCCCCCAGACACGTAGTCTCGGACGTCATCTCGTCATTTCTTGGCAAAAAGACATGCAGCGGGTTTATTCTCAGATTTGCATCATCGAACGAGTGAATTAAGAATCCAATCCTGTCTCGTCAGCAGCGGTGATGAATGGACTAAGAGTGATCGCCGCAGCATCTACCTAAATGTGTGTGAACATTGCCCTCCTTGTGCGCTCTGTCTCTAAGAGCCTTCTCGTGATGGAAGCTGGTAAGATCACGCTTCATAGCATAAGCATCTTCGCCATCCGCATAATATTTTGGTTCTACCTCCGACACCTCGAACTGCAAGCTGCTCGTGTACAAATTGAGAGCCGCACGATTACTTCTACGCACATGCAGTGAAACGTATTTCGCTCCGAAGCACTCCACCATCGCCCGAGAGGCCTGATTCATCAACTTTTGCGCGATGCCCAGCCTTCTGTGCGAGCGCTTTACAGCCAGACTGGTAATATGTCCGTGGGGATTGTCCTCGCAGTCCTCCTCCATTTTGGCGAGCACGTATCCCACTATCCTTCCTTTCTCGTCCTCTGCTACGTAACTCAGCTGCGGCCACGAGAGAGCGTGGTACAGATAATATTTCATTTGGTAATTCTCAGGTAAGCACTGCAGATTGCAATGCTGTATATTCAGCAGGTCTTCCGTAGTCGCACAGCGTATGTTTACAGACATTTTGATCGGATATATTCTATCGTGTGATATCCAAGATTCAATTTTGCTTTATACAATTATTTCGTTCGTTATTATGGTTATCAGAGCTCCAATATATTATATTTAATCACGGCGAAGTTTCTTTATGCGTGCGCGACCGTTCTTCAAATCGTTAACCGACGACGATTCGCTCATTCCATTCCCAGTTAATTCTCTGACGAAGCGGAATCGTGATAGGAAGAACGTCCAGACTAAGTACCAACCTGTTGAAACAAATCATCGTGTGAATATTATATGTATGGTATGTAATAAGGCAAAAACAAAACAAAATAAAACATGCATGATTTCAATAATTATATATTCAGTAAGTTTTATAATTCAAGCTAAGATCTTGAAATATATTTACATAATTGAAACGCTTATCTCTTGCTCGCTCTATCTTATTGTCACTAAAGTAAGCAATTTAAACATTTTAATGATATAAATGTACTTCAAACTTTCAGCTTGAATTATAAATTTCATATATATGTATGAAATTCTATAATTTAGTGCTTGAATATACTATAGCAAGCTCTTTATCGCCACTCAAGGAAACAAATGTAAATGACATAATGCAAAAAAAATATGCTTATCACTGTGCGATAACGATATACTGCATGATGACATACAAAAACAATGTGAGCACTATGTACGAGTGTCGCAGCACTAAATTTAGAAACCATTAGAACGCAGTTAGGTGTCTAAAGATCACGATTCGCATTTTACAGTTACCAGGCACGCAATCTGCGCTTAGCGCACAAAACAAGAAACTCGTGTGTGTGTCTGCCGAATCCGCGTGTTTTTATTTTTCCCCCTGATGACGTAATTACGTCGGGACGTCGTGACTAGGGGCACCAGCGCCCTGATACGTGTGCTTACCTATCACAACAAGGAGGAACACTATTAATAGACTGAATATCACGGAGAACGCCGTCAGGAAGATTTCCATCGAGATCTCCATCGGGATCTCCATCAAGGAACGAAAAGTAACAGAAGGGTAGAGGAAAAAAAATAAGAAGAAAAGGAAAAGAAACGTGGAAGAAAAGACTTTCCCTACGTCCTGCGCGCGTGCGATGGCATAACGTCTCTCTCACGAGGGGGGCAACTTCGCGCACGAGGCGGCACCGTATGTACGCACGTGCTCTCGCGACCCGACGACAGGGTAACACCGGATGTCGCGACGGCGACGACGACGACGAGGCGCGGCGAGTCCTCGCCCTGCCTCTCACACTCGGCACGCCATTTTGAAAATCGAAACGACACAGGTGCACGCGTACAGGTTATGGCTCTCGCCTCCCCCCCACCCCCTTTCCCCGCTTGCAAAAACGCGCTACGCCGCCCGGGTGCCGGTTACGTCGGCGTTCGGGCGAACGGCACTTACCGAGGTCACGACGCAGCTCAGACGGTCGCCCCAGGTGACATAACCTCCGCGAGTCTCTCGAATTTCTTCCCGCCGGCGAACGGTCCCGCGGAAGCGAGCGAGCGCACCTAACCTAACCTAACGCCACACGACGTGCACTCGGAACTCGGAGTAGCAAATAATGACCGTTTGCGACTGCGACTGTTTTCGGTGTCGGAGCAAGTGCACCTGTTGCACCTTCTGCACTTGAAATAAAATATTATAAGACATCTCGCTTGTGGAGAGAAGCCATCCGATTTTTAACGTTGCTATGAACGAGGAATGATAAAATATTGTTTAAAGCAATAATATTGATGTGTTAACTAAACATACATCTATTTCCTTTTTTTACATTACACAAAATGTGGCTAAAATAATTAGACACGTCGATATCTTCAAATTTAAGATAATTACATGCTTAATTACTATAATTACACAGATCTCACATTATTGAGAGAATTTTGTTCCTTACTTGCAATATATAGTATGTAATCTTATTTGTACTAAATATTGTATAAATACGAGATTAATAAGCGCCTGTCTTCACATATTTATACATGCCTACAAAATTTACGAATGCCTGTGAATTTTCTATCAAGGGAATATCCATGATTATCCATGATCGTTCTCTTATCTGTGTAGAATAATTTTATACACTGTACATTTGGCCTCAGTCGTCTTCCTCCTCATCCGGCTCTTGCAAATGGTCTAATCTAAGTTCCTTCGAGCGGTCGACCTTAACCACTGGCCGATTCTGTTTACGCGTGGTCCTCTTCGGCCTCTCCCCGATCACGTATTCCGGCAGGATGATCTTACTGCTTCTGAATACAGGTCTCTCGTCCGGCTCTGCGATTGTCGCGCCAGTATCGTCCGTCATCTTCTTCGTCTGCGGCTTTCTGAACGCGATCTGCGACGACGCACGTTTCTTGGACTTGAACCGCGTCTCCGTAGAACCACGCGCGCTTGATTCGCAGGGCTCGACGTCCATCTCCTCGTCGTCCTCGCGTTCGTCGATATCCTCCTTTCTCTTGCGAGCCTTCAATTCCCTCAGGAACGACATCGCGGCCTGCGTGTTGCTGCGCTCCGTCATGTCCTCGCTGGACACGTCGTCCAGGCTGTACCTGACCCACTTGTGCGGGTTTCTGTGATGGTCCGGAATGTTTCTGAAATTGGCGCGCGGCGCCGGACCCTCGGGACGCTTGAAGATACTCTCCCTGCCGCGAAATCTCTTCGTCTCCCTCTTCTGCCTCCGGTCGTCGCTCGCGACTGGCCTCTTCTCGCGTTCGACCACCATCTCCGCCTCCTCGTTCGCCTCGGAGTTGTCATGTTTGTTACATTTGCTTTCCGCGACGGACAGCTGATCGAACAACAATCGCTGCCTGTTGGCAAACGCTGCGTCACCACCGCGTAGGATAAAATTAGCAGACGTATGCATTTTCGTGAGTCGTGACGCTCCTCGCTACAATCATTTATTTGACAAATTTATCGTGTTTCGTCGAAATAATGAAATTAAGCATTAAATATCACGTATTCCAAACCTCGAAGGTCGACGTCAGATCAATTTGGCTTTTTGTTAGGTTATGTTGACGTTTCGTTTGGCGAATGCTGCCAACTTCGGACGAATCCAGTGAAATCCAGTCCCGTACAGCGCAATCCAGATTTCCAGCAATATTGCTGGAATGTTTCACGAATCGTGATAACTGATAGGTCGAGTTGCTTTCGATTTGGTTGCGAATAAACGCAAATGATTTCAATACAGCAATAAACAGAATGTACCTGAATTCAAAAATTAATTCTGTAAGCTTGGAAATTATAATATAAATGGAAATAACTTTTTTGTTGTTTATGGCACTACCTATTGCTTCGTCTAAAATCTGTTCCTTGTAATAGAAGCGCTTTCAATTCTTCTTTCCTTTTCTCTTCAATTTTTCTCTCCATCTAATTTTGTGTCCATCTCGTTTCAAGTGCAAACAGCTGAGCACGGTGCAGCTGCAAGGAACGAACAACTGTCCTAACCTCGACTGGCCAGCGCGAGCGGGAATGGTTATGTCAATTTCGAATGGCGCAGGTAGTACGAAAAAACGTTCTTCTCGTTACTTATAGAAATTAATTCGACAGCTCCGTAACGTGTCTCACGTGATAGGATGAACAAACGGTTGAAGCTGGCCGGTCTCGCGGCGTCGAGAACTTTACGTTCGGGCAAAACGACCCTCGTCGACGCGGACTCCTCGGAGAAAACGTCGCCCTACTTCGCCGGCGAGAAGAGATCGGCGAGGAAGAAACGTACGCCGATCAAGATCGAGCATGAAGCTACGAAGGATGATGAAATGAACGCCAAAGAACGCGAAGATGCGGCGGTGTCGACAGACGTAGCGGACGTTAAAGTTGAAGAACGTGAGGTCGAAAATAAGAATGCAGAGCAATCGACAGACCTAAAGGATATCAAGGATGAAGAGCGATGGATGCCACTGAACTGGGAGACCGTGCTTGAAAACATTAAAGAGATGAGAAAGGATGAGACAGCTCCAGTTGACACGATGGGTTGCCACAAGTGTACGGATCGTAACGCTAGTCCCACGATGTTTAGATATCAATCGTTAGTAGCTCTGATGCTGAGCAGTCAGACCAAGGATCAGGTCACGTTCGCTGCTATGCAGCGTCTGAACACTTACGGTTGTCAGCCGGATATAATTGTAGCTACCCCCGACGATGTTCTAGGCAAACTTATACATCCAGTTGGATTTTGGAAAGTAAGGACCAGTGCTTTATTTATTTACGAAACGTTTTTAGAATTTAACTTTTACTTTAAATTTCTTCATATAAAAATAGAATAATTTTGTAAATAATATGAATCTACGTTTTCCTTTTACTAATTTTTAATTCATTTTTGATTTCTTTGGCATATGAAATAGAATAATTCTGTAAATAATACAAATCCATTTATCAATTATATTATAAGCCTATAACTTTCCTTCTATTAATTTTTAACTCATCTTTAGTTTCTTAACATATGAAAGTGGAATTAATTCTGTAAATAATACAAATCCATTTATCTATTATATTATAAACCTTTGTTTTTCTTTTACTAATTTTTAATTCATAATAATTGAGTCGTTAAGTAATATGTAATTGTGTACATTACAATCTTTTTAGATTTAAAAGTAATTTTTTATATTAAAAAATATGTAATTTCTTTTCTTTTTTGTAGAAAAAGGTACAGTACATAAAAAGGACGTCAACAATCCTTCTAGATAAATACGATGGTGACATACCAAAAACAGTAAAAGAATTGTGCGAGCTGCCAGGGGTAGGCCCTAAAATGGCTCACCTATGCATGCGAGTTGCATGGGGAGAGGTGTCCGGCATCGGCGTGGATACACATGTTCACAGGATTTGCAACAGATTGAAATGGGTGAGGAAGCCAACCAAGACGCCGGAGGAAACGAGGAATGAGTTGGAGGATTGGCTTCCCAAACCTTTGTGGAGCGAAGTGAATCATCTCCTCGTGGGATTTGGTCAAGAAACTTGTCTACCTCGATTTCCCAAGTGTTCGGAATGTCTCAACAAGGATATCTGTCCGTATGCCTCAAAAAGCGGTGAAAAGACGAAGAAGTGATAAACGCATGTTTGTATATGTACACAATATTCGCAAAATTACAAAATTTATTATTATATTTATTTAGAGTTTGTGCAGTAAATTTGTCAAATATCCTAACGTCCGGATTTCTTTTTACTCCTCGTTTTAGTCCCCTTTTTAGTGCCACGTTTTTGCGCCAGCTTCTGGGCTTTTTGCAACTTTTGTCTACTTTGCTTTTTGTTTTTTTGCTGTTCCAGTCTCTGCTTTTGTTGAAACGCTTTACTCTTTTTTATTCGTTTCAGCGCTGCTTTCTTAACTTCTTGTTTCAGTTCTTTCGCAGATTTGATCTCTCGGCTATCGGATTTAGAGTTTTGCTGCGCTTGTTTCTTAGGTTTCTTTTGTAACGACATTCCCACAATCTCATCGTCGTCGTCGACATCGCTGCACTGGTCGTCATCTTGCTTTTCTGTTTCTTCTGTAATTTTGTTTTCACCTATCCACTTGCTTCCTTCTGCGAGATCCGCAACGTTCAACTCTAAAATACTAACTGTATGACCTTCGAGATCGTATTCTTGTCGAGATAACAATTCTTCCAGCTCTGGGACGACGTGATGCGACAATGATTTCTTGTAACGTTCTCGCGCCTGAAAAAAAGAAATATATCATCGTGCTTTCTCTAATTCTTTGAGAAATGTCTTGATGCTCTCCAAATGAAAGCATGACTCACTTCTTGTTTAATTTTCTTTCGTTCCTCTTTCAGTTGTTGCTGCAATTGCTCCTGAGCCTTCCTTTTTCGCTCTAGCTTCCTCTTACGAAATCCTCCTAAAAATTCTCTGTAAATATAAAAACTCTTATGAATAGAAAATTTAATATAATTGAACGCATGAACACGTGAATATAAATTAGTGTGTTGACTACACGAGGAAGTATCTTCCTAAAGTAGAAGTAGACTTCCTGAGATAATATTACCGTCGCTTTTCCTCGTCGAAGACAAGCGTGATTTTCCTTCGCCTCTTCGGCTGACTAGGTTTTCTATTTACATTAAGTAATTGCGGCTGAGATTGTTTAAACATAATTGCAGCTGCGCGTTCACCAAGATAGGTTATGTCAAACACTGGATTTTTTTTTTTTGGTTTCTGCTCCTTTGGGAAGGAGCAAGTCAAACACTGGAACCCTGGAGATTGGTTATGTCAAAAAACACGTGTATACGAAAGGAGTAACTTGGCATGCTGTTAAAAATTAATTGCTCAAGTTGCCGCTAGATGGACACTATGGTGAGAGGAGGGAATCTTGGAGGGAATTTTTAGATTTTATTTCAATATTCAATCGGTATATTTGGCACCATTCAAAAAAACTAAAACTATTTTAATCTCTATTTCGCCTATAAAGGCTGGATTCGGGGAGCGCGCTATTAGTGCTAATTGCTTATTCTATCCTTGTTTTACACCTGATGAGCGACGAAGACAGAATGATTCAATTAATAGCTCGCTCCCCGAACGCAGCCATATAGAAACAAAGCCTACGAATAAAATAGACAGAATTTAAAATAATCTTTCAAAACAGAAGTTAAACGTGGGGTAATACATGGCTCTGTATAAAAATGAGCAATTCAGAGTCGATGGGAGTTACATTCGATCTTGATTCTCTCACCTCAATTTTATAAAACTTTGACTGGAAAGTTGGAAGTGCAAATAAAAAAGATGGAAATTCGTTTTAGAAACCCATATTTCAATACAAGTTAGATTTTTATATTTAAGTTAGATTTAGTATTTCATACAAGTCAAATTTTTACATGCATTATAAAATCGGTGAACTGATCTCTATCTACTTTATCAGTCATGTTGAGACAGATAGTAAACTAGCATTATTTGATTTTAATTTAGCTTCAAAGAAAGACGTAATTTCTTAATAGTGAAATTATATATGGAATAGTTGATTTATTATCAATCACACACATGTATCAGAAATATAAATCACAATTTTGAGTGTACGCAAAAATATATTGCTTCGAAATGATACAAAAATACGGGAATGAAATTACACCTGTACTTAAATAATCAGAAAATATTGTTTACTATCACATCTTATAATTTATCCCCTGCCTCTTCCAGGTTGAGATCCACCCGGTTGACCCTGTTGATTCAGCCAAGGTGCCGAACCAGTACCCTTGCCTCTTTGATTTTGCCCTCTTCCTCTGCCACGAGCTGAAAGCATTATATTATATTAGAATTAGCAAATAAAAAGGATTAAAAAGGATTTTAAAAGGAAATCGCTAAACTTGCCAAAGATTCGATTCTTTACAATAGAAATTTATAAGCACATTTCAATTCCTACAAGTATTCATTCTAAAATTCGAAACTAACTAGTCAGGATCAATTCAAGTACAATATATGAAATATTATTTTTTATAAATATTATTCAAATCCTAGAAAATGAAGTTTGATTATTGGATGTGATTCAGATTTTTAACCTTCCTATACCTACGCATTGGTCTGTCAGACCGACGATATACGTCTGCCTTGTTTTCCATTTAAAAAAAAACAAGGCAAACGTATATCGTCGGTCTGACAGACCAATGCGCGGATATAGGAAGGTTAAGTACACATTAAACTTGATCCTAGTCCTAATTAATATCATTTCCCAATGAGACAAGTGACATATAATTACTTCCTTTTTAATTATTCTAATGTAATTCGTTTTAAAACAGATATTAACATTATAGTTCTATTCATTCTTTCTGTCCAACTTAAGCTAAGTCCAATTTAATATCTTAGTCATTTTTTCGCTTTCTTTTACAAATGTCTCATCCATGTCTTTCCAGGATATAAACTTCTTCTTTCGAACGACGTTTACAGGAACAACGATCCCGCATTACGGACAAACCTTGGGCTCGCAATATAGCGGATTTTCCTCTGCCGGCTGTGCCCGATCCCTTGCCGCCGGGTCGTTTGAACATGGGTGCATTCTTCAGCATATCTGGTAATATGAGAAACCTGATTTTCGAGCCGCGGATATACACGTTCTCCAGCTGCCCGACCTGGCCGTCCCGGTACGTCACTGTGATACCCTGCATCTGACAATTCATATTATCCTCCGCCTCTATCAGTTTACCGCGATACACCTCGCCGGTGTTCGTTTCGCAGGTTATAATATGGCCCTCGGCTTCGTGAAGCACTTTAATGGGAACTCCGATCGACATTGCGGTTATCGTATTGAAAACCTTTGTCCGTCACGAAAATTCTTCAAGAATGTTCTTCGATAACCGTATTTCTCCACTTTGTTACTTGAAAAACCGTTTTTACAAAACGCAACAACCAACAACCCATGCAACCACAACAGTGTGAAGGACCTCTGTGGAGGATGTGAAGTAATAAACGAGTGCTGATGAATATATCGATCGATATATCGAGAAGAATCGACGTTCAGTTCTGCGTTTCGAATTCTTTTGGATTCTTCAAATAGATTATTAGCCGACTTTATCTGGATCAAACTACGCTGTCATTATTTTTTATTTCTTAATTTTTTTCTACCACACGTGCGTTTTAGCACGTGATTGGACGTTTCTTCTGGATACAGCTTTAAGGTCATGAAATACAAATTCGCATGATAGAGACACGATGTTCCGATCAATCGTGACGCCAAACCTTACGAAATAAAATGGCGTTGGATGTCTATAAATGTTATTTCAATGTAAATTCGCTGAAGCACTTCGGTTTCCGACGAAGATGAGAATGCTTCGATCATGCAATGAATTTCTAGTAAAAAAAAGAAAACATATCTGCGTATATCTTTATCAGAGTCAATTTATTGCCCGCTGCTCTCCCATAGATTACTATATATAATAAATCATTACCATGTAATGCCTATTATCCTTTGCTTTAAATTTTTTTGTTCACCGCGGGTGTTGATTTTCACGTAATACAAGTACGATAAAAGAGGCATTTATGAGAGTCTCGGTTTTACGTGATTTCGCACGTATAGAGCGAATTCTAATAAAAAAGAGATAATAATTTTCTTGTTTCCTTCAAATATCCAATATCCTCTTACCCCCCAGAATTTTTATCGATGTAGAAAATTCTTTTCTTCCGCTTTCTTCTTTTTCCGATAATCCATCGCCGTTTTCTTTTTCCGATTGTTTGCAAAATTGTTTATTTCAGAAATATTTCTATTCCCTTATGTATTATCTTAATCGCGTTATATTTTTCGATGGATATATATATATATATATATATATATGTTTTTTTTACAATAGCAATTTTTTAATTGTGAGTGAATATATTATTTAAAAAATGCGTTCGATGCGGCTTATGTTTGCTGTTAATTTTTAAAAGGCACTGTCGTACGTGTAAAAGCACGAATTTCGATCGAGATATATATGTCATCGGGTATATCCAGCGTGGTAAAAGATAAACCGTTTATTGCAGCAAAAATTTTCATTACAGAGAAAATAAGGTCGCACCTCGTTCAAACTTCGGGAGATGTTTCCTCATATCTCTCTCTCTCTCTCTCTTTTTCTTTGTACAGCGTACAGCTACAATATAATTCGATGAGGTGCTAAGTTGAAGAGCTCTATATAAAGTAGTCGAGAACACACAAAAAACGATTTCCGGCTTTCGTTAGGGGCGATGCATTTATATATATTTTGTTTTTAAATATACATAAATATAGTCCGCTATAATTATAAACATTTCGAGAACTGTCAAAAGGGTCCCGTGTAGGGCCAGGAGGAAAGAGAGGACGAAAGGGACGAGGGGGAGAAGGAGGAGGGATAAAAAGGGGAAAGAGAGGAAAGAGCGTAGGTAGGGAGCACACTAACTTTCTTTACGTACGTGAAACCTAAATGTCTAAAGCATTTTCAAAGGATGGTAATTGTAATCATATAATATATTAAAGTTGATGTTACTTTTTTAATAGCTTAAACGTACTAATATCAATCGTAATAATTACAAGCATCGTGTTACGTCCTTATATAGTCAGCCGAGTACGATCGTCGCTGATAAATCTTTTTTGTTTATCTCTCTCTCTCTTTCTCTCGCTCTCTCAATCTCTCTTTCTCTCGTCTTCTATAAATCATTTATGTTCCTGCACGCATTCCTCTGCCTCACTCTCCCCAGGCA